CACTCACATCAAAAGATGCAACCAACAGCTATCATGAAATGACAGAAAAAGCACGACAGGACAAGAACCACTTTACATATTTGTTGAATAAACTAAAGCTCAGAAAAATAGCAATGTATGTTTAATACTTTAAGGGACTCCGTCCAGCATAAAGAGTCAAATGAGGCCCTTCACCTCAGCAACTGTCCACAGATACAGATATTATTGGCTGGTTAAGATGTGTTAAAAGCCTTAAAATAAATTCAGTTTTTATTGCAGAAGCATACTCTCACACTGAGAAATCTGGAAAAATGCAACCTTCACCTCAACTCAAATGAATTGTTGGCAAATGGGGGTTTGTACAAAGTATGAACATCAAGGATGCTGATAATTATGGCACACATGATTTGATGTAAAAGAATTATTTTTTAATGTGGGATTTTTTTCACACTGAATAAATTCACTTGAATTAAAGGTTGAATTTTCCTCTTTTTTTTCACTGTGGTCCTATATTATTGAGAAAAAAACTGAATTTACTAGAAGCTAAAGAACACATCTTAACCAGGGGTGCCAATAATTGTGGAGGGCTGTATGTCTTCTGTTAGGAGAGGACTTAGGAGTCAGTACACCTCAAATCACCAAATTTCTTCAAAAAAAGTTCCCGTCTGACCAATTCATATTTGTCTGACTTGTAGTAAAACGTGTGTAAAGCCTCTGGTCACAGGTGTTGGAACTTTATGAGCACAACATATGATTGCAGCTTTTCTCACTCGCTTTGGTTCATTTCTCAAATCATTCTCGACATTTGCAAAACACTAAGTGCATTTCTCAAAACAATTTGTACAAACAGCAAAACACCATGGATGACCTGGCAGAAAGTCCTACTGTAGATTATATTTTGCTGGAATAAACAGTTGAACTGAATAGCAGAACAAAAAGTGACCAAAAAAGAAGAAGCAAAAATGTACACTTCATCAATAAGACGCAGGAGGAGAAAGACAAACAAAGAACAAATGAGCGCTTACAGTGCAGTTGTTGTGTTAAAGTGGAAAGAAACCATCTGAACCAGCCTCAACTGGAGTGAACATCTGAATTATGTGCAAAAATGAAAGGAGGCTGTGGAAGATAAGAAAGTCCTGCAGATGTGTTTCATTTTGAGCGTTGAGTTCACACTGGTTCAGTGATCGATACAAAAACAATGGCCAAAAATGAATGATTTTTTTTTTTTTTTTTTCCAAAATGGCAGACTTCCTGTTGGGTTTTGGGCTTGACGCTGATGGACTTTTTTGTGTGTCCCAACCTGCTACATTTGCCCAGCGAATTGTGTAGGTCTAGGTGAAATGGCCTTCCGATGGGATTCCGTTGAATGCCAGAAACACAGCGAAAATGGGCAAAATGGCCATTCATCGAAATTGCACAGGCTGCCATGTCCACACTGTAAGACGTTGGTGGAGCATTTGAATGACTTTTAATCACCGCGTCCTGTAGTTTGTGCTGGCCAAATTTCAGGTGTGTACGACTTACCCCTGAGGAGGAGATAGATTTTGAAAATGGCCAAATAGCGCAATTTTTTTCAAAATGGCTGACTTCCTGTTGAGTTTCAGGTATGCGTTCTTGAGACTTTTTTGGCC